AGGGGTGTGTTCCGTTAGAAAAGGTGCTACAATTGTAAATATTTTTATTTGGGTGCTAGTTTTGTAAAAAAATTTTAATGGTGCTAGAATTGGAAAAAACTCGGGATACTGATACTGTCGGTATTTTAATTACCATACTCAAGGAGTGTCGAGCTCGAATCCTCTTGGATTCCGTGAAGAGAGCCAAAGAAGATGATCGACAGGAAGAAGAAATCTCTCGACGCTCACTTCTCTTCCAAAGTCGGCGACATTGTCATGTCCCTGTTCGGTCCAAAGGTATGTGACCTCCCGAAAAGGGAGACGCGTGACAACGTTTTTTCATCATCGTACGATGTAAATGTAACGAAGTAGTTAAGCCCCATAAATGAGCATGTATAAGATCCCGCATAACCTTCTCCCAACAACTCGAGTTATTGGGACCAACTAGTTTATGACCGTAAATGTTGATTGTTTGACGCGAATAAGTAAAAAACATGGCGCATGTAGTGTTTCCTCTGAAAAACCAAATACCACCGCCGGTGCTGAACCCGGTTTCCGGCGATGTTGATTTGACTGTTTCGATGTGGAAACCCTTGCAGTGCCGGTTGATCGGATGAACCGCTGATTGCTGAAATCGAGACGACTGTCGAATATCCACCGGGCGGTGTTGATTTGATCGGTGCAACTGACTTCTGAAAACGATGACGATCGTCAAATATCCATCGTCGTGCGATGTTGATTTGATCGATGCACCTCTAAATAGTGAAATCAACGTGACCGTCAAATATCCACCGCCGGGAGATGTTGATCTGATCGATGCACCTCTGACTTCTAACCAACGCGACCGTTATTACGGTTCGCACCTCTCCAAACTATGTTCGAACGAGGGTGTTTGAGTTTTGGGGAATCTACGTTACGACTACTCCTATGGAGATTCTTGTGGAGAGCTCCGCGACTACGACTACTTCTACCAACTATGGACATCCTTACTAGAAGGAGAGCTCCGCGAAGGAGTTACAGAGAAAAGGTAAAGTTTTGACAGAGTTGTTCGGTGTTGATTTTTGTTGTCCCTTCTCTCTCCTTGCTCCGCTGCTTTTATTTGAAAAACATCTTCGTAGCCTTCACGCTCCATGAAACCGCTTCCTCAACTGCTCCGTCGTGAACTCCCACGTGTCTCAACCGCCTCGATTTTGATTCTGCATGAATCTCACGTGGAACAAAGCTACAATGACGATGTTGCTTTGGGATAACAGTGGCGTTGGACTTAGCGGGCCACCCTTGGCCGAGCTCTTAACCACTGCGATATCGTTTTTAATCAAACGATATCGTTTATGATACCGCGATGTCGTTGATACCTCCCGCGGTGTCGTTTCTATCTAAACAACACCGTCTAAAATAATTATTAAAAAGATTAATTAATTAAACCGGCTCATTATTGTCACGCGGTCAAATTCTCATCCCTCGGCGCCGTTTAATCTTTCCGCGACATCGCTTTTCACTAATCGATGTCGACCTTGAACTGCTTCGTCCCGGTCCCATCAAACAATGTCGTTTTTCATTCCGCGACATTGTTCTCTACCAAACGGTACCGTTTTTCTCGTCTTGCGGTGCCGTTGAGCTTGTCAGGCCGCTCGCCAAAATCCAAACCGCTGTGGTATGGTTTCTAACTAAACGACATCGCTTAGTAATACTGCGGCGCTGTTGATGCCTTAAGCGGTATAGTTTTTAGCTAAACAACACCGCTTGATTCTACCCGCGACGTCGTTTTAATATTAAACGACTCCGCTTCCAGCCTTGTGGTGTCGTTTTCTTCCCCAATCAGCTCCGTTTGTTTTTCCTCCGCGACATTGTTTATTTTCAACACTGTCGTTTGTTAGTACATCGACACCGTTGGGCCTACTTGCGGTACCGTTTTGAATTAAACCACACCGCCTAACATAATAAAAAGGAATACCAACGTATTAAATTGCCGCGATTTTGCACGTTTGGGCACGGCGGATTTTTGGGCCAATCACTTACCCGATGTGGTTTTTAATTAAACGACACCGCTTAACAAGGCCTCTCGCGGTATCGTTTTTAAATCCGCCGTACAGTTTTAATTCTCCGCGATGCCGCTTGTCTCCAAGCGGTATCGCTTCTCCCCTTCTGACAAGGAATAAAAATAATAATTAATTAAAAAACTCATTTTCCCACACCACTACTAAACGCGCGGCCCACATCTTATTTTTCGATAAACAATGTCGTTTCCAGTGTCGTGGTACCGCTGAGCTTCCTTGCGGTACCGTTTTTTGTTTCGCGATATCGTTTTAACTCTCCGCGATGCCGCTCGACTCCAAACAACACCTTTTTTTACCCACGGTCAGTGGCGTAGCCAGGATTTTACATAAGGGTGTTCCAATTTTTTTTAAAATAAATTAATTTATATGAGAAATTATTAATTTTTGTAATGACTCACAACATTTTTCTATTCTAATAAAACTTGTAAATTATATACTCTTCATCTAAACTATCAAAGACCTTGTTGTCAATATATCCTACCGACTAATGATTCATAATTTTGTTAATCATTCCAATCCATGGCGGGTTATGGTAAAGCCGCTATACTGCTCATGGATAGCCGATAAAAGTTGTTTGAATGGGATGGTAGAGTCGAGCTACTTAGCGACCGTGTTTGAGAGGAAAAGTTTTAAATGGAATTGAAAAGAGAAACATATATAGTTAAATACTACCACAATAAGTTGATTTAGTGATATTATGAAGATAAGAATCACCAAACTAACAATTATCTAAAAAATTATAGATGAAAAGTTTGGAATAATTGTATGTGATTTTTATTATTAATTTAATTTTTGTTTGAAGATAAGTTAAATGTATATTATTAATTATAGTTTGATGATAGAAATACTAAATACTATAAATATTGTTCCATCTTCCACGTACAAAATTTCATCAAAACAATCTAATATACCCCTTTCCCCCAAAGCAAGGGTGTGCCAGGGCACCTCCTCTTTACAGGCTGCCTCCGCCCCTGCCCACGGTATCAAATTAAATGGTGAGACTAATTAATGCGACATTTAATTCCGGTCAAATTAATTTTAGGTGTCAACAGTTAGCGTGCAAGGGTAACTACCGTCTAATGTGCAACACGACATTTACGATCTCCAACATCGTCGGACCCAAAGAGGAAATCACCATCGCTTGAAATCCCATCACCTTCCTCACAGTCAATAACTCAGAGCCTTCCCCCCATGTAATCATATGGATTTGGTATTTTGATCAATGCGTTTGAATTTTAACTTGGAACTTCAATGGATTTGCTCTGTTTCTTTTTACAGGCTCTGTCGATGCACATGGTGAGCTATGCAGGGCGAGCTGACATGCAGAGATCCTGATGGCCTAAGATGTCATTCCAGACCCAGAGTTTCTGGCCAAGTGCTTCGAAGATTCTTTGATGGAGATGAAGATTGCAGCCAGCCGACGGATTCAGGATACCGTAGAGCACTAGCCCAAATTAAAAAAGGGGTGGAAAGACTGGGCCGTAACCCATCAAACAGTGAAACAAATATCTAAAATCGAAAATCTATAAAGACTATACTAGCTCCGGATTCAAGAAGGGTTGGGCTATGGCCGGGAGTGGCCCCTAGATCCGTCGCTGATTGCAGCTGAAAAGGCTGCTACTGTTGCTTCCTCTGACGGTTTATAATTACCTCTGAAGCTTGTTTAGCTCCATGAATAATGCTCTCTGACTCTGTCATTGAGAAGATTGGCAAAGACAATGTTTCCCAATGTGGAAAGAAAACAGAGCTCTAATTAATGAACGTATGATTGATGGAGGTACGCCTCTTAGATCAAGGGCAGTTTAGTAATTGGTTAGAGTTAAGTCGATTAGGGTTTCAAGTCAGAGTCTATATATTGTCGTGTAATCCCTTCATCAGGATAACGAATCAATAAATAAATTATCAACGTATCGTTAGATTATTCGAATCTCTTTTCCAATCCCTAATTCTGTTCTAATCCTTTCCAAATCTCTAAGTATCTTCTTCTCAATCCCGAATTCAATTATCTTTACCCATCATCCATTCATCAATGATCCATGGCGTTTATCTCACGTATCTGACTGATTTCCTTACCTCTTTTCATCTCCTGTGCTCCCTTTGGATGAGCAAGTCCACCAATTGGGAAGTAGAGAAGGAACATAAGCGGTTGTAATTGTACATTCTTGGATCTTCAAGTGAAGTTAAATGACAATCCAAATCAACGTGTTTCGTCCGTGTTCCGTCCGTTCGTGAAAAAATAAAATGATTATTAGCAATATATAGAGGATAACGTGTAATATAAGAATGAGAATTAATAGATCATGAAAATGTCACAAGTTTGGCAACAAATTCATAGGAGGCAAGTTAAATAAAAAATAATATGAATCGCTATTCATCCCTCTAAAATTCAAATTTTGTCGTCCTAAAATGCACCTAATTGACCCTCTTACCCTCCAGCCTCAATTCCTAACCAAAACCTACGAACAGTCTCTTACTCTGCCAGCCGCCGTCGAGCTCCTCTGTCCTCCTTCAGCTGATGTCGCTGCCAGATTCCTCTCGCCAACAGCTGACAACCGGCGCTTTCCTACTGCTGCTGTCGGATTCTACTGCTTAAACATATGTACAAAATATAACGTGGCGTGCTGACTGGATTGAATTAACGGGGTTTTGAATGGAAATGGACGGAATGATCATTTTGTTATTCGTCCAGAGTTGTTTTATTTAAACATGCAAAATTAAACTTTCGTGACCGTTTTGTACTAAATGATAAATTGTGTGACCATTTATGATAATCACCTGAAAAACAATATGACTTTCTTTTATTATGCAAGTATCAATTTTGTCCACGTTTCCAATTGAAATTTTAATTTTTAATTAATTGACACGTCGATCACCTAATAGTCAAACATCATTATTGACGGTCACAAAAAAAAAACAAAGTTAAAGGAAATAAACAGTTTCATGACCAAACATGCAATGAATCATAGAATAATTCACTTTCCCTTTTTCCCCTTTCTTGTTCATTTCTTCCCCTCAAGTTTCCCAGAAGATCACTGTCAAAAAAAACAAAAAAAAAGTTTCCCAGAAGAAATTTTTATAATTTCTCTGGGGATAAGCGATTTCTACAGCCATATATATATATTACATATAATCATTCAATTTCAGAGAAAGAGAGCTCGATCGGTTCATTTTCCCCTCTGCCCAACAAAAAAAAAAACCCCAGAGAAAATGAATCGCAAAACCGCCAGAAAACCTCTCCCTCCGGTATCGATCCCCTCGCCGCCGGCGACGGATGCCGACGAGCCCCTGACTCCCGCCGGCCGGATGTTCCTCCAGCCGGAGCTCGACACCGTAATCCACTGCGCTATCGGGGTACGAAACCCCCTCGACGTCGACGCCATCAAGGAAATCATCAAAAACTCGCTCCTATTGAAGCACCCGCGGTTCTCCAGCATCCTCGTGCGGGACGAGCACGGCCGCGAGCGGTGGCGGAGAACGAAGGTCGAAATCGACCGCCACGTCTTCGCCGTCGACGCGGCGGCGGGAGATGCCGACGACGGCGGCGGCGGGTGTGCGGAGAGGAAGGTGAACGACTACATCGCCGATTTATCGGCGGGCCAGCCGCTGAGATCCGACAAGCCGCTGTGGGAAATCCACCTGCTGACGGAGGAGCGGTGCGCCGTGCTCCGGATCCACCACGCGCTCGGCGACGGCATCTCGCTGATGTCGATGCTTCTCGCCGACTGCCGGAAGTCGGGGAATCCGGACGCGATCCCCAGTCTCCCGGCGTCGGAAGCTGGCCGCCGGCGGCGGCGGCGGTCGTGGGCTGCGGCGGCGGCGGAGTTGGTGATGATGGTGGTTTACAGTCTGGTGTACTGCTTGGAGTTCACGCTGAGGGTGCTCTGCGTCGGGGATCGGAGGACCGGGATCAGCGGCGGCGCCGGGACGGAGCTGTGGCCGAGGAAGCTGGCGACGGCGAAGTTCTTGATCGAGGACATGAAGACGGTGAAGTCAGCGGTGGCGAATGCGGTAAGTAAGCGAAACGAATTTTGAATACCGTTTCCTCGTTTTCCGTGACAAGGATTAAAGATGAATTTTCTCGTGGGTCGGGGTTTTGCGATGTCCCAAATTCTTGTTTGACTTTTCTCGTGGGTGCAATTTTCATTGTGGGATACTTTGTTGGATGCTGACTTCGTAGTAATCTAAAGAAATTTATTCTAACCCAATTTGCAATTAATTATACAAAAATACAGCTAGATTTTGGCTACATTTATGTTGGGGTTCAGTCATTATCTTCTTTCATACGATGATGATTTGAACACGTGATTTCGCGATTAAGGGGTCGTTTGGATGTGAAAATTTTAAAACGTTAGAAATTTGTCTGAATTTTCATGTTGTACAAAACCAAGAATTAACTTGTGGAAATTGAAAAAAAAATTCACGTTTGGATAGGGTTTAGTTTTGTAGGAATTGATGGTGTGGAATTTGGAAAAAGAAGTAAGAAAACGTGGTAATGTCAAATTACTAGGAGGAGGTGTAGTATTCTCAATTACCATGAATGTGGTAATTGAAGCCAATTTCCATACCATTTTTGCTCTCCCAAACATGGGTTTTTAACCCAATTACTGCGTTATGTGGTAATTGGATCCAATTACTGCATTACATTTCCACATCCAAACGACCCCTAAATTTATTCGGATACAATGTCATAAATCATTTGTTGGTTTTACGATGATGAATCACAAACTATTAATGATGAGACAAAATTTAAAGTAAATGATTATTAGGCACGTTATTATTTTTTTTTTTAATAAGAAATGTGAACGGCAACTATTTAAGCATGCGATCAAACATATCATTTAGCCTTCCATAAAAAAAAAACATATAATTTAGCCCACGTGTAAACGAAATCATTGAATAGACTCAAATAGAAATGGTTCAAATGGGCCAAAAACCTTTCCAACAAAAAGGGATGGTAGAGTCCTTTGAATGAGCGGGCCCAAAAAGGAAATCAAAGGGTAAATGGTCCACTGTACTGTGTCCTTGCCTGCAGCAACGAAGGAGATAAATGTAATAGAAATACATCTAAGACGTCTTAGCTCGTATTAACATTACATATATCATATACGAGTATTAAATGGAGTTTTAATAAAGATGTTGTAGGTAGGTAGGTTTGCATTCAATGTTACCTGATCATTGTGTCAGATAACCAAAATATATGATAAGGTTGTATGAATCTCATCACATTTAATGTGGCATGACTCTCGTATCAAGCATAATAGTTTTCTTAGAAGCATGTTATATTTCATCCTATAAAACTTAACGACATCCGAGTAGCTGCACATTGTTATTTTTCTTCCAAGTTAAGTATTATTGATTCACCTCAAAGTTTTGCATTACATGCAGACTATAAACGACGTTTTGTTCGGCGTGATAGCATCCGGGCTATCAAGATACTTGGACCATCGAACTCCAAATGGTAAGATATAGAAACTAATTTCACACTCATCCATCGCCATTCAAGATTTATTACAGATCAGTTAATTAACAGCTTGATCAACACAAAAGTGCAGCTCTGAAGGAAGGCCAACAAATAACAGGGATGGCCATGGTTAACCTTAGACCACAATCTGGATTACAGGTAACCAAACTCTTTGTCAAATTTCCGAGTCCATCATGCTCCTTGCCTCATTATTAATCACTTAACATGGTGATCTGAAAAAACTGAGCAGGAATTATCAGACATGATGAAGAGCAATTCATCAGCAAAATGGGGTAACAGATTTGGGATACTGGTATTACCAGTATTTTACCACAGCCACCATAGCGAAGAAGGGTCGAGCTCGAATCCGCTGGATTTCGTGAAGAGAGCCAAGAAGATGATTGACAGGAAGAAGAAGTCTTTGGAAGCTCACTTCTCTTACAAGCTCTGCAACATTGTCATGTCCACATTAGGTCCTAAGGTTCGGCCCCCAGACTTATTCGACGTTGTTACTTCTTATATATACAGAACACAACACAATGCTGATTGCTTGACATGAATGAGTAAACCTTGTTCTTCAATCTATACACAGTTTGCATGCAAGTGTAACTACGATATAATCTGCAACACCTCGTTTACGATCTCCAATGTTCTTGGGCCCAAGGAGGAAATCACCATTGCTGGGAATCCTGTCACCTTCCTAAGAGTCAATACTTCAAGCATTCCCCATGTAAGATCATATTAGATTAGATGTTAGTTATTAAGGTGTTTGATAAATTTAACATGCAACTTAGTTGATTCATTTCTGTTCTTTTTCACAGGCTTTGACAATGCACATGGTGAGCTATGCAGGGAGAGCTGACATGCAGATTTTGGTGGCCAAAGATGTTATTCCGGACCCGGAATTTCTGGCTAAGTGCTTCGAAGATTCTTTGATGGAGATGAAGACTGCGGCTGAAAAGGCTGCTGCTGCTTCTTCCTGACTTGCTCGTATCAACAAAATCTAGTTCAAACAGATTGATACATTACGCAATACGATTTTGATTTTCAAATTCAAGACTCGATCTCTCGATTCGATCTGATCGCTCGAATCGAAAAAACTACCAGATCAGATGCGATTTAAGGAGAAGCAAAGAACAGCACAGTACCTTTATCACAGAAGGTAGAAACAACAACAGCCTCAGACTCATATGTACATGTGGATATTTGGTTAGTGATCAAAGATGAAATGCAAATGAACTCCCTCTCTTTTCCTTTCTCTCCCTAATGAATGGCACTAAGCAACAAAGAACCAAATCCAAGCATGTTTTTTTGACTGAAGGACAACCAAACTCTAGCCATTTTTTTTTTACCTCATGCTTTCACCATGGGCTGGGACTTCTTGCTCACTCCTTTCTTCCTTCTCATCAGCAGCCTCCTCAGAAATTCAAACCCTGCACTTTTTTTACCTGGCACAATCGCCATTGCTGTACTTGTATCTGCAGTTTTACCACCATCACCTTCTGGAGTTCTGCCACCACCATAATCATTATGTTGGTTCGGAGATTCTATCAGTGCATCTTCTTCCTTTGGCGAGTAGAGAATGATCGCTTTAGATTTATCTTCAGCTAGCATTTGGTCACGCAATGAGAACCGACGGAACAAGTTCCTGTTGTTGTTGGTGGTGGTGGTGACAATGTTAGCGGCATTCCCAGCATTGAATACCTTGTCAAACAAGGCTGCTTCACTTGGTGAAGCCAGTGCCTTCAGTTGCTTTCCAAGGCTGAGAATGGTTTCTTGGCATTCGGCCAGCTTCACTGAGGCTGCTGATATCTCCAATTCCTGCAATACACTTTGCCGATCACCATTACAGCATATGGAGATAAAGACTTCGAAGAGGTAGGGTGACAATAGTAAACTTACATTTTGGGATGATTGCTTTCCTTCTCCATTCATGCCATTGTTTGTAGTCTCGATACACGTTACTCTGTAAGAAGAAGGAAAATGTTGCAGTGGTATCAGAATTATGTTTTCAGAATGTCAAAGATGAAACATAAAATTTGACTTTTTACCCTTCTAGTTGGAGTTGAAGATCAAGGCAAGTTGATTCTAGTTCTTCACAACAGTCATGCTTATCCTCCAGCTCGACTTCTAAGCATGAGTACTTTTGCATAACCTCATTCAGCTGGGCTTTGGCAACTGAGAGCTGAGTATCGAGTTCCTCATTGATCGATATCTGATTCTCCATCTGGTCTTCAACCATGTACTTGTACTCTCTCAAAGTCTCCATTTCTGCCTTTATGTTCCGAATATTCTGCTCTGATTCCTGTAGTTGACTCGTCAGAGACTCAGTCTTCTCACTCGCTGCCTTCAGCCTAGCTTCTGTCTCTTTCAACCTCTCATTCTCTCCAAACATGTTGTGATTGCTTAGAATAAACTCCAAAGCAGATGACAATTCCTCGGTAAACTTCTCAACACTAGTCTTTCCATCCATCAGACTGTTGCATGCATGAAGAAATTTTTGCATGACATCTGAAGGTTCTGCCACCACTAAGGAACTCGATTGTTCCTTCGAGTCTTGATCTTCAGGTTTGGATGTTAAAGCTACTGGAATTTTAAATCTCTCCACAAGGTCCACAATCTTGCACATTGACTTACTCAGACTCGGTTGACCACAATGAGTGCTTAGATGATTGTTGTAGCCCAATGCAATATTGATATCCTCGAGAAGCTCAGGCATAGAACGTTTCGAAACTCGATGTTGCTTGTTCAGTGCTTTCAGAACAACCTGAAGCCAGTCAAACTCTTGATCATCATCATCACCAGTTGTAGAGACTACGGCGAACTTCTCCATTTCGACAAAGTCGTCCATCAAACACATCTCCAAGCTCTCAATCGGTTTGTGGTCATTTCGAAGACTCTTGATCACCTTTCCATCTCTGAAGCTTTCGAGTTCCGAGAGTAGAGCAGTGGCCCATGAACCAGAAGACGAGCTAACTCCATCATCACTCCCAAATTCAGAACCAGGTATAGGGTAAATGTACTTAACAAGCTCCATCGACTTCACACCACCGCCAGGAAGTTCTGCAGCTAATTGAGCTTCAACCTGTGACAACCTTGAAGCTGTTCTAGAAAACATGATGCGCGAAGATTGAAGTTCAGCATTTTTCCTCATCAGTGTGTCCTTAAGACTCCTGTTCTCTTCCTCAGTAGCAACTAGTCTATCCAGCAGGAAATTTATATTCTTTTCAGGCATCTCATGACTAGGCTTTAAAGTGGCAGTAGCAGGAAATGGATCCCTTTTCTGAAGCCTCTGGCATTCTGCTTCCAACTTGGCAATTGTTTTGACACTCTCCAGATGCTGCCTCCTGGATGCATCAGCATGCTGTCGGCTGTACGCGAGTTCCTCGTTGCGAACATCGATCTCTTTCTCCAGCATGTGGAATTCATATTTGAGGAATGCATTCTCTTTCTCGGTCGAATCCAATCGAGACATGAGTGCATGAAACTCTGCTGATGTCTGAGATGTTTGCTTGTACAGATCATCAATTAGTTTTTCCTTCACCATTAAGGTCCTGCTCAAATTTGTGTTGTCAATAGCTAAATCCTTCAACTCATTTTCTAGCTCCTTAAATCCAGTTGATGATTTATCTCTGATGGATTCACTGTACATCTTCACCTCTAGTTCTTCGGGGATAGAGCTCAACGGTCTGGTGAACTGCTTCAATGCAGGTTCATGATGGGCCACTTGTCTCTGCATGAATACATCTTCTTCTGCTTTCTCCAGCTCTAGAACAAGCATTAGAACAGACAGCAGAATGAATGTCTTAAACAATGATCAAGGGGTGAAAAGCAAAAAAAATGGAAACAAATGGATGGATTACGAATAATAATACCTGCAGAAGATACTTCATGTTCAGTTTTAGTGAGATGATCATCAAGAAGCACAGAAGCTAGCTTCTCATTTAAATTCCTAACGATTCTTGATGGTTCTGCTCCACTCTTGGCTGGGATATTTCCTGCCTAAAACAGGAAGAACCAAATGAGTCAAATTTACCATCTTCTTGAATGAGCTTATAGCTCCAAACCCTTTTGGGGTTTTTCACAAAGACTGTAACTTTTACCTCTTCATGATGAACTATGGGCACAGGGCTGCCAAAGTTGTTAGCAGTGACATTGATTGTTCTCTGTGGGAAACTTCTCTTCCTTGGCCACGGATTGTTGTCCATAACAATATCAGAGTTTCTGCAAACAGCAGAATCCAGTTGTTCAACACACAAACCAGAAGCTGTATATGAAAGCTCGCTTTAAAACAGCCCCAAAATGACACATGCAAGCCATTAATGTTTCACCGAAGATGACAGCAAAAAACCCAGAAGGGAAAATAAAGAGAGAAAGCTGCCTTTTAGAGGGCATTCATTGAAGTGAGAGAGTGCTACTGACCTGTTGAAATTCTGTGCTTGTGTTACTGAAGCAGCAGCACCAGAACTTAGGCAGCCATTTACAGTGTTTAGGAACCAGAAGGTGTTCTAATCTTTGTGGATGATAAAGCTAGAAATGTTGAGAATGGATTGGTCTGTTTGCTTTTGTTGCATAGGATGCTGCTGGTGCAGCACTCTGCTGGGTTATGAAGCTCCACCGACAACTAAAGACCGCAAAAGGAAACAAAAAGTCACCATTTCGCCATGGCCTCCCCTGTAATTATGAGAGCGAGAATGATGAGATAGGGAGTGATGGCCACTGCTACTGGTCCATCCTCGAAGGGTAAAAAGGACAGCAAAGAAAGGTGGAAAAGAAAGAAAGAAACGGGGCTGGCTTTGCTTTTGGCTTAATTGGCTCCAAAATGCCATCAATGCCATCACTTTCTTCTTGGATTTCCATGGATTTTGCTGTGGCCGGGTGGCAAACCTCTTTTGACATTACTCTCAACGTTTTCACCGTTAATCGCAGTAACTATTCCTTTTTCACCATGATTAAAGAAAGACACTCAGCCGTGGAGAGAGAGAGAGAGTCGTTGAGATGGAATTTGGAGGACAATGATTGTTGTCTCCTTGTACATAATGAAAGACCATTTCATATTTTCATGGAGTCATTTGCGACGAAATTTTTGGTTTTGTCTTTTGCTTTGGTTTTCTCATATCTGCTGCTCACGTGAACATAGATTCAAGGAAGACAAATTACAGGGAACGTGTTTGTTTGTAACTTTGTATCCATCTTTTCGTGCTCTAGTTTAAGAATGCGGCATCTAATGACTAAAATAACACACCTACCTCCCACGGCACGTAGGACTAAATAAAGGTGGCTGTCGGATAGGGTGTGTCACGGTTTGGTTCGTATCGGACTGAACTGAGTCCAATCAATGTTTAGCTCAATAAATTTCAGAAATACGTAATGAAAGAAAACCGAACTAATATTTAGAGCGAGCGAATATATTGGTCCTTAATTCTAATTCCTAAGATGTCTTAAACTGCAGTTCTCAAGAGTTTAATCCCATCAGGACCAAACCGTACCATTGCACATCCGGAATATCGGATGGTTTGTTTGGTATAGCCCGGTGAAAAACTATTCAGTGTTTGCACAACCAAAAAGTACCGACGATCAGGCCAGAAAATTAGCTATCGAAGAGAACCCGTATACAAGTTTATTAGTACGTACGATTGAACTACAATTGAACCACACCATTTTCATACCAAATTATCTATATTTATTTATGTATAATGTGCCAAAAGAAAAAATAAAAAAACAAGGGACTCCTTAAAAACTTACAAATTTCGTCACTTGGGTATAAACCACAACCCATAATCAGAGACAGAAACACTACTAAACACCACCTTCTACAAATCGTCTGAACCACTTTAGGTACACTAAAACTCTAGGACACCTGAATGAGTATAGACTTGGAAGCAAGCGGCATCGCTTAACCTTACAGTTTACACGGCTTGTCGATTAACATACCTTAATCTCAACCCTACTTCACCACCTTCTTCCCTCTCATTACCACCTCCTCCTAACAAGACATCAGGCCTCTGCTGCCCTTCCTGATTAGAAGAACCTGCACCGTCTTCGTTCTCGTCCTCCGACGCTCCCACAGCATCCTCCCCGAAGTTGTGGAGCCTCCGACCGATGAGATACCGGTCGTCCCTAATCGAGTTGTGGAGGTTGGTGAACCAGACATGGAACCTCTTGGCACAGAAGCACAGCACGCTCAGGCACAGGCAGCCCAGCCAGGAGAATCTGTAGACAGCTGAGTTCACGACCAGAGGGTAGCCCAACACTGGGAATACCCCTCTGGCGAGGACGTAAGGCACGCACAGCGCAGTGAGCAGCTTCATCACTATTGGGAAGACGATCTCGCGGAGGACCCACAGGCCTTGCAGGCGCGAGAAGCCGTCTTCTCTCACCCTCTCGAATTTGATTCGCCAGCTCTCGTCGACGAGCGGCATCATGTGATCCAGCATGACCTGTTCGCACACAACACGGGAAAATGGGAATCGAGAAAGAGTCGGGTAAGTTGCTGTAAGTTTACAGAGAGAATGGTCAAAATGTGGAGTGTGGTAATGTTGGGTACCAGTCGAGTCCAGATCTTCAGGAAGATGAGTCCTAGTGCCCAGTCTTGATACAAGAGGAAGACTGGACTTTCGTCGACAGGGACACGCATGGGGACAATAACGAGGAGCTCGAAAAGCAGCCCGATCATCACTGGAATGATAAATATCTGAAAACAGAAATAATTGTTAATAAGAGAGATCTTTCATGGAATTTCAACAGGCATGCACGTAGAAACACAGATTTAGATTTTAAAATCCTGTGATTTAAAGATTTCAGAAGAACAAACCTTGTCGGAACTAAACATAAAGGCAACGGTTTATAAAATCTTATGATACAAGTTATGAGTGTACTTGTAAAATGAAATTTACCCATATCGACAGTAGCGCGGAGCTCTTGAGGACAATGCCGCACCACTTCCGAACTTGGTTAAACAAAACTGCTGCCCTCTTTGTTCTAACATGCTCCAAACAATATCTAACTCCAGCCAGAGCGGTCCAGATGGCATAGCTTCCAATTACGAAAGCATATAGATCTACAGAGGCGACAATGATAAGATTAGAATGATTAATGTGTCAATTCTGGAGAAGCAGCAGAAGGCAGAAGCACAAAAAAAGTATTCAATCTAGAGATATACCATTGCACTTGATACCATGTGTTGTCGGCAGAAGAGGAATGGCATTGAAAAGGGCTCGACCCAGTGCCACAGGTACAACAATCACCGCAGAGTTGAAGAGCAGAAGTGTCATCCATGCCACCACCAACAAGAGCACAATCGAGCCAACAAAGCCATACCGGCTGAAATATCAAGGAAGCGAATAATAATATTATAGGTTAGACGCCAAGTCAAAAACAGAACACAACACCATTGTTTTCAGTTAATTTCCCGTGGACTAGACCCTCTTTCAGAAAGGAATGACAACAAGAGTACATGTGAGAAGTTCATTGCAACAGTAACTATGCAGAGTGGAAGAGAAAGTAATCACACAGAGTATCGAAATCAAGGAACAGGTTATTTTGTGTAGATTTCATGAAGAATTACAGGAGTCACAGTGATCCCATAGACCTGAAGTGTGATAAATTTAGAGACTAGTTATTATGTAAGTAAGGAGCCATCGAGGAAACAAAGGAGAAAGAAAAGGGTTCCTTTCACCAGTTGGGGAAACAAGGAAACAGAAAACTCTCATATCAAGTAGACCTTGAAGGTTAATTGTGATGTCAACAAATATGAACTCATGAGCAGCAAAAGGCAGTTAAGTAAGACAAACTAAAACAACATGCGTACCCAGAATCAGAATGGTCTTCACTATCATCTTCATCAACAGTATTTAAATTCCCTGCACCCGGAATCCCTCTGTTGGGATGATCATCAACACCAGGAACTGCCAGAGCACGATCCTGACCACCAGCCTGTAATTGATCCTGCCTTCCAGGTTCTGCATTTCCTTGCCCACCATTCTCATCAGGTCTAGGCAATAAATAATCAGTTAAGCCAAGCGCCCAACCAACTGCTGTAAACCAATAGCAAAGCAGAGACTTGATTGTCGTCCGCAGCTTGAAATGCTCAACGGCAAAAGGAATGCAGATTTGGAATAGAAGCATGTCAGCTGGAATTTCTGTGAACGGATCAGAAACCCTGGGGGGGAAATGCAGAGCAATCATATATTAGCAATCAAGAAGACGAGTAAAAGCAAGAAATGAAGAAATTAACTATGCTTGCACTGGAGTAATCTTACGAGATGTCTAGAGGAAAGATGGATGGTGCCATTCGCATGGCAAGTTTGACAGGCAAAAATACCAGCATCACAATCAAACTTCCATACACGGCAACAGACAAGAGTACCCTGCGTCCATGCTTGTGCACAGGATCATCAATTAAATCACGAAACGGATTGTAGTTTGGATCAGCAGGATCTCTGAGGAAATAGAGCACTCCATGGCGTAAAACCTGAAAAGGACAACATGAAAAGTACTCGATGTTATTATGTTTCAAATATTCTCATCTAAATATGTGAAAGCTCTCAGCCAGTGCTGAGATGCAAGTTGACAAACTGCAGGCATCACGCCTAGCACTTCTGTGGATTTATGTTTTGTTTTGGTTTCAATAATATGCATATCAACTTCATCAAGCAAATATGTGAAGAAATGATGGTTGGTCCATTACCCCTCGAAGAAGGCTGACAAAGATGCTTATTTGGAGCATGTATACAATTCCGACAACCCAGTGAACCAAAGAGCTAGCCAAAGGAGAGGCTGAGAAGAATTGGATTCTGTCAGACATTGACTTGCCAAACATCCTTAGAGTACATATATCGAGCCACCATCCACACATCAGAGGGAACACCCCGAGCTCAATTACCAGAAGGAAGGCAACTTTAATCATAGTCATCAAATGTTTCATTGCTGCCAAGAACTGCCTGAAGAGCGACGGGATTGTTTCTGCTATAGATGCAATACCATAGAACCTTCCCAAGGTCAAGGGCTCACCCTTAGTGTACCGAATCAAAGCAACAACACCGAGGTAAAGAAAAACTAGGAAGAAAATTAGCATATAGCCAACTGCAAGAGTTGTCACATCTGAAAGCCTTGATGTGCTGATACCGGCCCCTTTCAATAGATCAGCAGAGACTGAAGAACTAATGTTGCTTGCAGCCTCATTTGCTGCACTAGCATTTACTTCCAATGCGTGAACCACAGGGTCCAAAATGCCACCATCTTGGGCCTCAGATGTCAAATTTGTCACAGCTGTCAATGCATTTTTCAGAGTGATATTTGCTAAGGAGAGGTCAGACTCTGTTAGCGGCAAAATGAATGACAGAACAGGACCACTTGCAGAAGAGAATAGCCAAGATATGTAGTGGAGAATAACCCGTCCTAATGAAAAAGGCACAAAGATTACAACTCCAAGGAATATCATGTTGCTCGCCAGAACCTGCAGGCGGGGATAACAAACACTTCATGACAATGAACTCAATTCTGAACTCTGAGCTAAATTCAGTAAATGGAAACTAAGGAGGAGACAAATGGATCATAACTTAAGAGCTCTATCTAAATATAATGCAAATAAAACCTAATCAGATGCTAAGGCGAAAGGGAACAACTCATATAGGACAATCTGATAGTAAGACGAGAAGAAATTACAAGACTTACAGTGAATGCATTTTCAACCAAATGGAAAACAGGACCCTGCATGCCCACTAGTTCATCAAAAGGCACATCCTCAGCACCATCAGCATCTTCTAAACCATCAAACATTTGTTCAACGTGAGCTTCAAGACGAGCTGCCTGCATTTCCCACCGGGCAGCAACATTTTCTGCATTCCTTCTGATGATTTGACCAGCACCAGCAATTCCTTGCGCTCCTCCAACATCCTCAACATTAGGCTCACCAGCAAAATTTCTATTTCCCTGCACCAGAGGCCTCCTTGGTACACGGGCGCCATTTCTATCTGCCTCTTCTTCTCTGTCAACTTCTTGTCCACCGATCTCTCTTAAATGGCGAAAGTAATCTCTTAGAGAGGTGGCTCCAAGAAAAATGAAAACGATGCTGGCAGAGAGAAGGAACCCATGCAGGCAATCAGTAAGAATAACTGTAGTTGAGATATGACTCAAGAAGAGCCTCTGGGCTTCACCAAAACTTCTCAAGAAGGCCAAGCGCCATATCCAAAATGTTATGAAAGGTATGATCAGAAGCCAGACAGAGAGGACAAAACTAAGGCGCAAAAAGAATTGCATCACGTGGCAAGCCTTCATCGCCATTCCCATTATGAATTCCCGAAAAGGAAGTCTTGCAGGAGCATTTTCAGCATACACGGGAGAGAAAGAAAATGGATGTTTACAGACCTGCATGTCATAGAAGGTGAATTATTCAGAAAAAGAGGTGGGCAAGATATGGTTATGAAATATCACTAAATAACTAGCCAGTAAGTTTATGGAAAACAAGTCAGAATGAGTGAAAACACAGAGGCCAGACTTATAAACAAACGAATAACTCATGACTGCCCATCTGACATGCAATTGTTAAACGAAAAAAGGTCATCAAAAGATTCCTTAATAGAAGTTCAAGTTTTTTTTTATGAAAATTAGCATTCATTAGAAATTATTATTAGGATAAAAACAATTTTCTTGCACATCAAGTTTGTAACTCATATCTAAGGAGCTTAGAATTCACAGACATGAAAAGAGAGACTTATTTGAGTATTCCAACTAGTTTCTTTGAGTAGATTCTCAAGCAAAGTCACCTGTTTCCTGACTGGAGAAGCAGCCCCTCAACACTACTGTTTCTATTGTTGTCTAGAACTACGAGCAAGCTTCTCTCAGAAGAACACTATCCCTCCCACGACCTCGTTTCCCGAAAAAGCCTAGGCACATCACCTCCTCTTCAAAACCCATAGTTGCTAACCCAACATTCCTAACAGTAAGGGTTGCAAGTTTGAGTTTCATGAGTAATCATGCATTTCAACCAGTTCACGGCAAATCACGCTACATATGCTTCCTTACAACATGTAGCCCTAGACAATACAAGTACATCTTTTTTCCAGTTCCCTTCAGTATGCCAATATCCAAACAATCAACATCAAAGCTCAAACTAGCTCAAAGCCAATAATATCTCAGTAAACATCCCCAACCTAACTTCCCCCCGGTTTAACTAGTTTATCCAAACATATAACCTTAGTCAGCGAATCAGGATGAATATCCTTGGATTGCATCAGCTTCAGCCTACTTTTGACAGTTCAATTAGAAGATGACCAGATATTCCAGTCGCATTCTTTCTCTACCCCTTTTTTTTCTCAAGACCGAGCAAATCCATACATACCTCGCATTGACGAGCGTTGCTGTGATTAAGCCACTGGAGCAGGCAATCCTGATGAACGAACTTGATACTCCCACTACAAGCACACGGGTACCTCAACGGATTCTCCGCGTCGCCGGGGTTCCGGCAGATCCTACACACATCCTCCTCGTCCTCGTCGTCATCGTACCTCGCGGCAGCCGCCGCCACCACCGACATAGATGGCGGCGACGAGGACGCACCGTCCTTCTCAATCAAATCAGGATTTCCGAAAGAAGATGAGGCCGTGGTAGAAGACGAATCGGACGGTCCCGCCTCGCTCTTGACATCGCGGCCGTCCGACGGCACCGCCGCGGAGGCGATCTCCATGGAAGGAAGGGGGAGAGAAGGGGTTTCTCTCGGCGAAAAGCACAGGCGAGCCCTCGACGCGGATTGACTCGGCGAGTTCAACGGAGATCCCGAGTTTCTGAATGGAAAAATAGCGATTAATATTTCGATTTTAAAGTGTTTTCCTCGTTTCTGGATTCTTTTTTTCGGTGGCTTCGAAGAAGAAGGAAAAGATGACGGATAGGGGACGGAAGGCGGAAGGAAGATGACGGGGAAGTGACGGCCGTGGCATCAGCTGCACCACTCCGATCCAGCGGAGCTTTAAATTGGGCTGGGTGGGCCTGCTTTTTTCCAGAAAGAGAAATGATGTGGGCCGCCTTGTTTTGTCGGCTATTTTTCAGAAAGGGAAACCACGTGGCAGCTTGCGATTGGCTGCTCAGTAGATATTAATTTGCTTCATGGACGTATTTTTAACTAATACATTTTAAATATTATAAAAAAAAAATCTAAAAGATACGCCACAAAACAAGATTTTTTCAAGCAAATGCATAACACACATAGAGCAAGCCAGAACGCGAAAGCATCAACGATTGAAGACAAGTCATCAATCAAGCCTGTAGTTCACAGCTCCAGCAAAAGAAAACTCGAGAAAAAATAAAAGCTACAAACCGAAAGGAACATCAGTCTCCTAGAGAACCCTAAACCCCAAAAACAAAAACCAAGTCTACCAATGTATCAGAACACAACTCTGTCTAGTCTCAAACGCCCATGCACACTACATCAACCACACTCCGACCAACCGCACAGTAGCTTCAAGAGACAAGGCTCTCGTTCAAAGACAGCGACGACAGCTGATCAGCTGTACCACCAGCTGCCTGATGCTGCTGAACACTCCTCAGCACGTCCATGGCCTCGGCAACCTTCGCCTTCAATGCCTCTGGTGACTCGAGCAAGTGCAGAACCTCGGTCTGGTCCATCTCCAGAAGCATCCCTGTCACCTTAGCTGCAGCATCTGGCTCCAGTTGTTCCACCAGGGGGTACAGATTCTCACCGAGCATCTGCAAGTAGGGTAGTAGGATCAACATTTAACACCCGAGTTTTGACGAGGTAAACCAGATGAAATTGAGGTTGTGCAGTGTAATGTGTTTACCGTCCTCTGCTGATCTGGAGTAGCATTAGCAAGTGCAGTGGCCAGAGCCCCTATGGGGATTGGCTGAGACAGTCCTGCATCGCCACGCATAGGCATGGAACCAGCCATGTCGTATGGAACAGAGAGCATGCCTCCAGGCCCAGCAACACCAGTCATGGGGCCATCGGGCATGCCACGCCCTGGAGGATAGCGGTAGACACGGCCGCCCCTTGGAAGCATCTATCACGAATGAAATCAATTCAGTGAGGGCAAAAGAAAGTCCACGCTATTCCATTAAATTGAAACACACGGCAAACGCAAACCTGCTGCTGCATGAGTTGAACCGGTTGCTGGGATTGCTGACCAGCACCTCCCCTTCTACCGCCAGGTCGCTGACCCTGCTGACCGGGTGGACCCATTGGGACAAAGTAGTTTTGCATAGGTGCCCCTCCAGGACGCATACCAGGCACAAGCTGCTGCTGATACCCAAATCCAGGCTGACACGAGGACCGAAACCAAATTCAAAAGTAAGAGGTAGTTACAAAAGAAAAAGAAAAAAACATAACACTAACTGAATTCATATCAAGCAATGGGAGATGTACAAGGATGTTACCTGAGAAGGTATAATAGCAGGAGGAGCTTGGCCATAGAATATCTGCTGTCCCATTCCAGGTGCCCCAGGAGGATACATTGGCATGCGAGGTGCAACAGAAGGTGGCATTGCCATAGGTCGCATTTGAGAAAATTGAGCCTGTGCAGAAAAATACATAAAGCCATATACTCTCAGCAGAAACTTGAAAGACACAGATGAAAAAAAATACAACACAAAAGTTGCAAACTTCGCTCCAAGAATATCAAAACATCACTGCACCTGCAGTCTGGCTCTTCTATCTTCCTTCCTTTGTGCAAGTGCAACATACAATGGTTTGCTGACAATGATCTTTCCGTTCATCTCCGAAAGCTATCAACAGGAATAAATGAATTAGATTTGCATCAAGAGTTTAAATGCAGAAGAACCAGCATCAGACTTACAGCTCTATTAGCTTCCTCAGGAGTAGAGAACGCGACGAACCCTGAGCCTCTACTAACGCCACTAGGATCTCGCATGACCTGTTCAGAAGATTGCCAAAAAAAAGGGTAATTGTTGAAAATCGAACAGGAAGTCATAAAGATAAGCAGGATCCCAAACTTTTACCTTGCATGATGTGATTGTACCAAATGGGGCGAATAATTCCTTCAGCTTTTCATCAGCTATGCTATCATCTAGGTTTTTAATATACAAGTTAGCTCCTTGGAACTTATCAGCAGCCTCTTTCATTGTCTGCTCAAACTTTTGTTTCAGTTCAACTTCCCTCTCAGATTTCTTTTGGGCTTTTCCAACATACCACTCTTTGTCATCAAATTTCTTTCCATTAAGAGCATCAACAGCTCTAGCTGCATCTTCACAACTCTCAAAGTTGACGAAACCAAAGCATTTGGATTTTCCTTCTGCATCTCTCATAATCACAGCACTGGTGATTGGTCCATATTCAGCAAAGGCATTCTTCAAATCATCATCAGTGGTGTTGTCACCAAGATTCTTCACATACACATTATTGAATTTGCCCCTGTCATTTGAGGAGTCCCTTTCCTGCTTACGTAGGAAAGGACCTACATAAACTTGCTTGTCATTTAGCAGCATTCCATTCAATTTCTCGATGGCCTTCTGTGCAGCTTCCTCACTATCAAACTGGACGAACCCATAACCTTTTGACTGTCCAGAAGAGTCAGTGGCTACCTTGCAGGAGAGAATGTTCCCAAAGGAAGAGAAGGTATCATGCAGTGCTTTGTGGTCGATGCCCTTGTCCAAATTCTGTAAAGTGCAAGTGTTGTAGCGTCACATTAAAGAAATAGCGCAATAAAAACGAAGTTCATGGGGCCAAGAAAAAATACGAAGCTTCCTTTCTGATTATATCTACCTTGATAAAAATGTTTCCAGCACCACTTTTGCGAATGCTAGGGTCACGGTGAGAATACATGATTCTAACAGGTTTCCCGTTAATTGGAGTGAAATTGAGGATATCCAATGCCCTGGCAGCTGCATTCAAGAAGTGAAGAGTGAGAAAACAAAATGTATTTTATACTTCAAGTACAACAATGAATAAACGAGATACCAAATTGCTAAATCCAATGTACCACATGAAATACAATCTGGATGATGCATCATGCATATCGGAAATCCAATTTTCTATCTACGAATCACACCACGCATGAAAAACTTCATGTCACTTTTGGCAAATCAGGTTTCAAAAGTTGTAGCAGTGGGATGGAAGCACAAAGAGGCGTGTGCAACATAGTATCTAACCATAGTGCATATATTTTGACCAAACCTTCCATTGGAAACACCAAACTTGCTTAAACATTTGGAAAGTTTGACGATACCACATAATTTTTTTGTTGGGAATACAATTTAATACCATAAAAGACCAGTGCATTTATAATGGCTCTAATTTAAAGGCCGCAATACCATTTCTAAGAGTGAATGCTAACAAAAACCCTACATGATGCTATCAAGGACTCAAGGAGTGACATCCACAACAAGGCCGTTTGAAAAGGGCACAATGCAATGTAAAACCATGATTGCCAGGAAAAAAAACCTATGTGCTGCTATCACATGATGGCTTTAAGAACAAGGGCAATTGAAAACTAGTTTCAATCAAAAATTCACTACCAAGCAGAGCCACGGATCATCCTACAAGGCAGGTAAATAGGCCATGTACTTAAAGGAAACCTAAACAAGGGGTTTATAAGCTGATTCATCAGCTATTGGTTAAACATTAGGCAAGTTAGAAACAACATCGAAAAACAAGTTTGTTCTCAATAAAAATTCATACCATAAAAGACCATTGAATCAATAATGGCTCCTAACACTAAAATTATATATATCATTAACAGGTCACAAAACCACCATGAGTGGAAGCACTAAAACCTACATGCTGCTGTCGGCCAGTAACATCCTCAACAAGGCCATTCGAAAAACTACTCTCGTTGAAGAAAAAATCACCAACCAGCAGGAACTGTAATTACAAGATAACTAATAATGGATTCATCATCTACTCGCTATTGAGAAATCAAGTTCTGTTGGAAATAACAATTCATTCAAACCATAAAGACCCCAAACAGCAGCTTCATAGTAAACCTAAACAACGGATTCAGTAGCATCTCGTTCATAGAGAAATGAAGGAAACACCATAATTGACACCACAACATCAGGTAAACGATCACAACGATAAACATGATTATTCAAACGGCTTATCCAAAACCCTAATATAACTAATCGAAACCCCAATTGCGATTGTTCTTGCATAGCAACCAGAAAGAGAACAATCATTTCCCCGACTGAGTAAAGACGTGTCAAATAAAATAGACAATGACAACAAAATGAACAGAGGACTGACTTCCTCACTTCCGTACAGCAAGACGAGTCCCTCTCCATTCACCATTCATCCAACAACACTCTTTCAGAACTCAATAACTCCAATAAAAAAATCGGTAAAGACACAGAGCTATCAGAAATTACTAACCATCGGGGGCGTTGGTGAAGTTGATGTAGCCATAGCCCAGCGACTTGCGAGTGGTCAAGTCCCTGCAAACACGAATCGACACAACCTGGCCGACCTGGTTAAACAGATCGAAAAGCTGCGCCTCGGTGACGTTGAAGTCCAGATCGCCGACGTAGAGCGAAGTGGTGGTGAAATGCGGGTTGTTGTTCGCCCCGCCGTTCACACCTTGCGCTTGAACCGGTACCTGAGCCATTACTCTCTTCGAACTTCCTCCAAGAAAGAAAAAAAAAACGAACCAAACTCTTGCAGTCCAAAAATAAACAACCCAGTACAAATTTACCACCCCTTCTTTCTCTCGGCTCCTTTTTTTTGGGATTTTTTCAACCAAATCTTCCCTCTCCTCTCTTTATTTACGACGACTGCAACTGAAACCCTAAAACTCTTTCTAACCCGATAGATACGCACACCAACTGTTCGACAAAAGGACCCAGAAGACAACCGAAACAAAAAAAAACAACAATTCAGTTTCTGAATGAACTCTTTTTTTTTTAGTTTGTTTTGGATAGGGGGGAGGAGGAGAGGGAAGGCGGTGGAGGGAACGGAGATGGTGGGTAGAGCCGCCGAGGAGGTGCGGCGGCGACACGCAGAACCGAGCAAAACGGAGAGACGCGCGAGAGGAAATGAGGAAAACGGACTCGAAAGAGAAGTTTTTTTTTTAGGCCAAGGCAACACTCAAATAAGAAGAAGGATTGCGTTCCGAAGGAGTGACTAAGAAAACCCTAAGATGACGGCAGATGAGAGATCTCCGCCGTCGGATTTACGGGACAGGGAAGTGCGGGGCCCGCTGAGATAAGGGGTGTTCTGCCACGTGGGCTGAAACCGCGTCGTTTCAGGTCGGGCGGTTGTGGAGGTTTTTTTGTTTTTGTTTTTGTTTTTGTTTTTGTTGATGATGAAAAATGGAAAGTAGGATATGAATATTTAAACCGCTGCCTTTTCAAGAATGTAATAAAAAGATTAGCTTCAATTGTGTAATGAGCTTGCTAGATTTTGTTGGTATATTTTTGTGTGGGGAGTTTAGGAAATAAAAATGGCTTGGTCAATAAATTGCCAAGTTTTGTGATTACAAATTAAGCTAGAGGATATCTTTCCATGTATTGGAATTTTTTTTAGCTTACGATGAAAATAAAATTATTGTAAACCGATGGAATCACCGATTAATGTACAGAATGTTATCGATTGTATGAAAATATATTGTTTTAATCAAAGATTTCGTTGTAATGGTGCTAAAAATAGGTTTCAAGATGCTTTTCGCTTATGAATTACTAGGGCTGGGAAAATAGACCAGACCGTTAGAAAAACCGTGGTCCAAACCGTACCGCACAGTTTGGTCCGGACCGTAGATCGTGAAGTATGGTCTCGTCTGGTCCATGGTCTGTATTATTTTATGATTTTATCTCTTGGTCTGGTCTGGTCTAGACCGGGGTTTACCAGACCAAACCGTAGACCCAACTGACTTGTCAATACGTGTTAACAGCCCATTCGACCACTCTCCAAACTCCCACAACGACACCCAAGTCTCAACCTTAATTTTGTGAATCTCTTCCCTCCTTCATTCACAATCACATTTAACCACAGAGTAGAGATAATCGTGTCTCCATATGACATTATGTTAATGTTTATGACATCATGGTGCAAGCTGGGATGCTTTTACTTTGTATCTTTGTTATGTACTAAGATTTAGAGTATCAAAATTATTCATGCATGTTAGGATTAATGTTTTAAGGCAAATAACAATTATTTTTTTTTTGGTTATTGGTTCAATTTTTTTGTGTGGTTGACTAAACAAATTATTCATTTTTCTCTGAGTGTGGTCTATCTGGACCAGACCAGACCGCACAGGCGTGGTCTGGACCGGACCGTATAGTTTGTGGTCTATACTTTAGCCTCTTGGTCTGGACCGTAGACCGTATATATGGTCTGGTCTGGACCAGACCGCACCGTTTCCCAGCCCTATGAATTACTAGTGTCGTTTCAAATTGCTAAATCTTTGCGTTTGGGGCGACGACCCATCTAGTGAAAAATAATCGTGTTCAACTGTTCATTGCTGGTTGAAAAAGTGTTATCTAGTTATCGTGACATTTTTTTCGTTGAATCCATGATCATCTTTTCTTCTAATGTATTTTTAGAATCTTATTATTTACTATTTTTTAGTTATTTTCTTATTTGCTATTTTGTATGCTTACACCCACTAAGGGGATCAGACTTTTCCAGTCGCGTCGGGACGCTCAAGACAGGTCCAAGCGCCCGAAGTGCGGTATTCGCGGACGCCAGGTTGCAAGCCGCCCCAGTGTGAATCCGCACATCACGGAAATAGTCGATGGCTCCCCCAGCCATCTGAGGCAGCTTTTGTTGGACGCTTGGCCCTGATGAACTGCCAGAAGCGCCCCTATCGGGCCGAGCAGCAACATCTACTCGCGGAGAGGTTGCCGCGACTGACAAAGGGGCTCGCGGGACCGCCTGTGCAACCGGTTCAGCAATCCGAACCGTCTTCTGCGCCCTCTCCCCGACCAGCGGCTGTTCGGGCTCTTTCCGCTTCCCACTCTTGGGAGCCGCGCCATCTGACACGCCAAAACACAACACCAAACTGCGACCAAGTGGAATCGCAGTCCGGGAATGCAGTAACAGACAAGTTATATTATCAACCCGGGGTTTAGATCTACTGCTTACTCCGTGATTCTCTATTATCTAGCAAACTAATTCGAGTGATTGTTGTTTAAAGCAAAAGCAGTAAGAAAGCAGGAAATGGTTCGGTTTTCAAAAGCAGTTAAGAGTCACTCGGGATTGAGTCCCCCTAGCCCCTTAGTTAGGTTCAATTGCAATTCCCTGGGTTGATTTACTGTTGATTAGACTGCGGAAGATCCGACAGTAGCTTGGAATCTCTTAAGCTGACCAAGCCCTCTCAGTCTAACTACCCGGCAGACGACTAGTCTTCACCGGGATAGAAAGCTAAGGCTATGAACACAGAACTCCACTACTGGCGCCAAGAACACCAGTACAAAGCAGTAAACTGGCTAACTCTCGTATAGCCAATCTCCTACTATCGAATGAAGAGGCTCTAACAACCTAATCAGATTCTATCTATCTCAGGTTGCAGCAGAAATTGAGAAAAGCTGATCAGACTCCAATCAATTCAATAAACATGCATCATTCGATTAAAATCAAACAGTAATATCATCCCAAGTCATTACAATCAAATCCCTAACACAAGGAACTAGGGTTCTTCATACCCAAGTGAGAGAAGGGTTCTACTCCATAGAGAGAGAAGAGAAAACAAGAATCGGATTAGTCATACTCATAACGATGAGGATAATCTGCTCCGGGACGATGATGTTCACTCCTATGACGATCTCCAGGCTCGATTTGATGAAATCCAGCTCCAAGACGGCTTCTAGGATGAGTTCTTCGCACTTTCTCTCTCTAGGGCTCTATTTTTGCTCTGAAAACACGACTCTCCCACTTTTGGCTCGGATTAGGCACTAAAACCGGATTTCCCCAGGTGCACGGGCAGGTGCACGGCCGTGCACCACCCCATTCTGGCCGTGCAACTCTCAAAACGCGCCGTTTCATTTATTCAAGCTCAGCCTCCTTGCACGGCCAGGCGCACGGCCGTGCAAGCCTGGAATGTGCCCGTGCACGGCCTCGGCGTGAGGCGCACGGCCAAATGGCTAATGTGCACGGCCGTGCAGCCTCCTGGTCTGCCCGTGCACTCCTCCAAAAGCTCGCCCTTCGTCCGTTCTTCGTCCAATCGACCCCAGACTCGCTCCTAAGCCTTCATTCACGTACTAGGACCTGAAATAACACAAACAAGCACAACCTAGCGTGAAATCGGCCTAAAACACGAGAATCAACACCTCAAACGGTGTAAGTATGAGGGTAAAAACATGTGTAAATGACGGTCTATCAAACTCCCCCACACTTAACCGTTTGCTTGTCCCCAAGCAAACCAAGTCAGACACTAGGTAAGCTTACATATTTCAATCAACCAACATTGGGGACAAGTCATAAAGGCACAAAACACGTGAATCGCACTGGTTTTCAAACATCAATACATGCACAACCTCAATAACAACCTGGACAACCACCACAAAGGACATTCGAGTGCAGCAAATCGAGTAAAGGAAGAGTCTCCCTCCTGTTCACTGGCCAACCTAGACTTGATTCAACCACTTACTCAAAACAGTCAACTCATGCATCCAACTCAAAACATCAGAATAGAGACCGAGCAATCTAGGTCCTCACCGGGGTACAAGAGCATATAGAAAATGAAAATGAATCACTCACTCTCGACCAGTGGGGTCAGGACAATTTGATGCGAAAGATGCGCATGCTATTTCTCTCAATCCTATCATCTCTTCACCATGATGGCAGCCTCTAAATGCTAGAGTTCACATATGGGGTGTCACCACTAACTAATCAGGAGGTCTTAGACACAGGTTCAAATGACTGGCTAGGGTCTTGGACATGGGGAAAAAGCCTTTTAGGTGGTGGAAGTATTCATAGCAAAAGGTTCCACATTTTCCAAACACACAAACACAGTCAACAACCCGGTATTTTCTTTCTGCTATCCTGCATTACTCAATATCTTAAGAGCACAAGAGCGAAGGAGGCATAAACATCAGCATTTCCAAGCCAGACTGCTAAGAAACACTACTTACTGGGCATTATTCAGATTTTTGGTAGTGGCTCTCTTTTGCTTTCACTTTTTCTTTGTTTTTTCTTTTATTTTTCTTTTCATTTCTTAAGAGAGCCACCACTTCTGCACATTTCAAACACATGCCCAACATTCAAGCACTGCCTCCAACACTCACATAGACTTAAGCAGAAACAGCAGAGAATATGTAAAAACCACTCTGTGGAACCTTCTAAAAGATGCAACAAGGGTGATTTTTTCCATTATAGACCAAAAGAAAGGATAACACACGGCTCAAAGGGGCTGACTAGGGGATATGACACATCAGGACAGTCAGTTTTGGGCGTGGGCTAATCCTATGCCCCCATCATCTTAGCTAGTGACAACGTGAATGCTACACATCATGGAAGAGGGATCTATCTCACAAGAAAGAAACGAGCAGGCTCAAATCTCACATGGCTACCTATATGCTCTATCTCACATTCTGATACCCTGAACTAGATGCATAAACGACTGTCAAGAACAAGTAATCAGATCAAGTCAGATCAAGTCACAGTTGGCAAGCAAACAGTTGAAAAACTGAACCCCTACATCGCTCTACTGTACATCTCAGTCCTCATCATAGGTTGTCCTAGTCGCAAACAAGTTGTCATGCATTAATCCGAAAACCAATCAATTCATCCATCAAAACACAGTGCCAATATGATCAAACAGCAGTACTTGGAGCCCTCAAAACGTAAGATTCGGACAGTGGACTAGGCTCCAAGCACCATCTAAAATATTCCAACCGATAGAACATCCCCCCACACTTAAGCACGACATTGCCCTCAATGGAGTAGAGGGAAAGATAAGGGGAACGATGTTACCGGGTAAGAACACTGCTGGGGGACTGGAAGTGGACCAGTCAGCGAGAAGCGAACGGGGAAGTGGTCAATACTGCACAAATCGAACATCAGAAACACTAGCACACTGGTGTTAGGGATAAGTGTTAGCCCAGACGGCTACATCAAAACACAAATGAAAAACCAAAAACAAAAAAACAACCGACACTAAGTCCAAGCTCCGCACACATGGAGCAAACACTCAAAAGTCTTAAAAAAAACAAAAACAGACACACTGAGACGGGCAACGAGGACAGCCTACTCGTCGCCAAGATCGGTGAAGTCGATGTCATCCATGAATGCATCATCACCGGCAGCGCCAGCCGCGCCGTCATGGGGAGGGGAGTCATCCCAGGGAGTCCTCCAGACCGGTGGATCGCCCGGAACCAGCTGAAGCAGGTG